ATGAACAAGACTTTCTTTCCATGGTAGAAATCCCAGTCTTGCAGTTTCAAAGTGAAGTGTGTATTTATGCGCAACAATGTTTCTTCTCATGTATCTAAGCTTAGCCATGACCTCTTTGAGCATAAATGATTTACAGGAGAGAAGATGATGGAATGGCCACCATCAAGTCCTGATCGGAATCCGATTGAAAATCAATGGTCAATTGTGAAGATGAAATTACATAAAGGTGGCAAACAATATAACAGAAAATCTGACCTGAACCAGATCTAAGATGACAGAAGACGGTGACTTATGTTGCATTTTTAAATGTGTAAAGATTGTAGTTATCGGAGAGGCAAGAAACCAGAAGGAAGTTCCACGAGTGAGAAGTTCAAGAAAAGAAACTGAGTAGAAGTGGCGTTTGCATCTAGCTAGTAGAACAGTAAAACGACGAGACCTCTGTTAGACATTTTCATGACGGTCGTCTTCGAGTATAGAATCCAGATGTTGGCAGTGAATATTTCGGAGACAGTAGGAAAGCGTAGTGCAGGTTAGCAGTGGATATCACAGCAGAGTGTAGTTCTTCCTTCTGTCGTGTTCGCCTGACAAGTTGGCTCTGGTCCTACCGGTAGCGAAAACAAAGATGGCCGCCTTTATACACGACGGATACAGTGTTCTGCGGCTCCTTCTATTGGTAGACTATAAAGGGAAATAAGTCATTTTGACTCGCTCACTAGTTATATACAGTATATATCCCAAAAACCGTAACAACCTCGCTACTAGTCTAGTAGCACGTTTGAATTCACGTAATCGGGGAGAAAGGGAGAAAAGCTCGTCAGAGCAGTTGCCATGAAAATGGTTATAGAAAAGACAGAGGGAATCCACACCACGTTGGTGAGAAAGTCACTGAAGTCGAGACGACAAGTCAGGATCGATTACATTACAGATTCTTCTTTGAATTTTCTCAAGAATCCTGAGATGTACATCAGGAGCACAAGACCAGATATGGTAACAGTATTCAACGCTTCGACGGATGGTAGATTTCTAAATGTCCAAGATGGATTCTGACGAAAAAAAAAAAAAAAAACTTCTGGCACGAACGTTCCTTGCAGTAGATGAAACAATTCATTCGATACAGTTGTTCCAGGTTTTTGTCATTGGAAAATGTGTGGCCAAAAAGGCGTAGTGTCTTGCAGATTTGGAGGTTAGCATCAGCCATATTGATGACAAGCAGAAGAAGTTCTCTTTAATGGTTAAATTGAAGCAGTTTTGTACTGGAGACGATAACATTTGCAAGCCATTTCTTCATCTATTAAGCACTGATTGGAGATCATTTTCAAGGACAGTTGCCAAGTTCACTTTTTTGTATAGATCTGATTGATTTTCGGGAGCAATTAGTTATGTCATTTGCATAAATACGGAGTTGGGGACTGATGATATCGAGGAGAATATTGATGAAGAACAAAAATAGATTCCTGGTTTTGGAAAATGTATCTATTATTTGTTTTAGCTTTTCTTTTTTTCAATTTTTGTTTCGGCTATTTTTTTATCCAATGTTTGGAAAATTCAGTATTATTTTTGTTTTCAATTATTTGAAAATTCAAAATTACTTCTTTTTGTTTTATTTTTTAACATTTTCATGTTTACCAATCAAACAACATTTCACTTTATTTGCAAGATCAACAGGCATAACTGCTGTATTTAAGGGACGAAAAAGCCACAGGAAACTGTTGAATATGAAAGAGATTCTCTTAAAGTTAACGCTTTGTTAAAAAAATCGAATCATAGGGCCATTCCTTTTTGAAGGACGTCTTGTTAATGATGATTGCTGTTTAGAAATAATACAAAGTTATTTTATTAACTAAGATTGACCAATTAGAACTGAGAGATGATACAGTGTTTCAACACTGGAAGGTAATCACTTTCTAAATTAAAAATTCCCTTACAGATGGTGTGAAAGCGGTGGAATCAATAGTATAACTACAGAGTGTGTCACCCTGGGAAGCACTTGAGTTTGCCGCCGGCACAGATAAGAAATACTTCCCATATAGTGATAAGACATTAGTGGCAATGGTGTCTTCAGCTAGATAATGTGGTAGGTACTTCTGAGAGTTATACGTGGGAAGTATTTCTCTACCCTGTATATCTAGAATAAATTTCACTCTGTACAAAGCCTAAGAGCCACTCAAGGTAGAGGGTTAGTGTGTAAGAATATTTTACTTTCCTCATTACATGTCCTAGAAATTTCATGTATCGTTCTTATTCGAGGTATAAGCATCCTTAATTTTTCCAATTTAATTAAAAATTACTCGTTGCTTAAAAAGCTCCGTTCGTGATATTCTCAGCATCTTTCTGTAGAATCATATTTGTGGATAACAAAGAATTTTTAGAGAAAATGGAAATAAAAATCATTGGCGAGTCACACACACACCCCCTATATATATATATATATATATATATATATATATATATATATATAGAGATAGAGAGAGAGAGAGAGAGAGAGAGAGAGAGAGAGATAGATAGATAGATAGATAGATAGATAGATAGTTTTAAGTTGTCCTATGGGATAAAGTGTTCAATATCAGAGATAGAGTGTATGTAAATATAAGTATAAAAATGAATATTGAAATCAACACTCAGAGGCGACAGGCTGTTTCATGCTAGACGCAATCGTCAGGCCGCGAGTGTTGGATTTTCTCGACTATTTATATATATATGTGTCAATGTTGCATTGTGGGTAATCCATTTTGTCGGTTATTTTGGTATGAGTGAATTGTTTGTTTATTTATTCATTTGGGTTAATTTATAAAGTATTTATAAATTATAAATTAACCCAAATAAATGGATTACTCACAATGTACTACTGATATATATATATATATATATATATATATATATATGACCGGCTGATTTGTCAGGAAGGAGACTTCCTGATGTTATAGGGCTGGAGGGGGACGATCCCAGCATGTGGCGCCTTTGGAAGTACCTGGAAACTTTGACTCAAGCCTTGTGAGTGAAACTGGTTAGACAGAACACTTAGGGGACCGACGATAGCCTTGATAGCACGAAGTTACAAGTCATCGTCACCGATGGTCTGAGTGTGCTGGCCTTGTTCAGATTGTTTATCACGCTAGATAACACGATCTCTCCCATAAACTGTAACTAAGGTCTGCTGAGCATAGTTGCAGTGTAAACCGCAGGTGGGATCTGTGAGTGTTGAACAAGCACAAATGTGCCTGAGCGAGCCTCTAAATTAGGGATTAGCTAGCCGCCCTAGTAGACGGGTATCCTCGAATACGAGTGGCCAACTATTATATATATTAATATATATATATATATATATATATATATATATATACATTGTGTGTGTGTGTGTGTGTGTGTGTGTGTGTGTGTGTGTGTGTGTGTGTGTGTGTGTTTACGTTGGTGTAACTACACATTTACACGAACGGGAGATGCTGGAAATTATAAATTTTTAATTATTTTTTATTTGTATTTTGGGTATGTAATCTTGACGATTTCATTTAGATTATTTTTCTTTTTGTTTCCATAACTTTTGTTATTAGATATCCCTCACCGTGCTAACAGATCTTCTAGGAATGTTTTCAGGGCTTTGGCCTAAATTTACTACGGATGATCTAGCCACTCTCATCTTAATGAATTGTTTCCTCCGTCGATCAGAGCAGCATTCTTTTATATCACAACTGTGGTCAGTTTCTAATGCGTTTAACGTGTTGTTTTGTAAAACGTCCCTTTTGTGTTCATATCATTTTTATTTAATTCCTTGGTGTTTCTCATGCATTTTTGTGACAATTATTACAGGCGATAGAGTAAATTCCTCCTCTATAGTTTTGTTTATATATATATATATATATATATATATATATATATATATATATATATTTTTTTTTTGAAATACATTTTAAAATTAAGCTGTGGAGGTCATCAATGATTTCCCCCTGGCTTCATTACGAATTACGGGTATTGCAACATCAGATCCGTTCTGCCAAGTACCCCACCCCCCGCGACCTGTTGACAGGCCGCTTCCCTGCCTAATTCGTTCCGCGATGTACTTTTAGAAAATCAATTACTAACCTTATCAGGAGGTCGGTTTTTACTTTTATAATGGCATCGAGATTTGCATTAGCCAATCTACATGTCTGTGTGTGTATGCATGTGTGTGCATCTGTGTGCGTGTTCATGGGTGTGTATGCATTCGTGTGTGTGCATGTATACGACTGTGTGTATAAGTTTGTTCAGAAGAAAATAGAAAGTAAATGTTTGCATATTCTTCTTTTATGACATGGCTCTTAATAACGTCATTTGTGTAATGTTTAACATTTCAATAGTTCTCTTTTTTCTTTCTATTTAAGCAAACTTTTAAGTAGTTTATTGGCTGTTTCACTCCTATTTCTCTTGCTTTCATTATATTCTTTGCGTTTAGATTCTCCAGAAGAACAAGGGTGGGGAGGCTTGGCAAAAGTGCAAATGTTGCTAAGAGTCCACAAAGGATAGAAGTTTGTTGAAAACCTTTAATATCCCATATCATGATTTTGTTGATCACTTCGAAAATTAGCAATTTAGTTAGCAACTTGTTCCGTTAAATATTATACATTTACATGTCGCTGTCTTATATTATTGTAAATTTCATGTTTCTGCCATGGTCTGCTATAAACCATTTGTTTATGAATTATGACAGGTGAACCTACGAGACCGAGTAGTGTTTGTATAGCCAAGGATAGAGAATTGACTAATAGATTGATTTGTGATTTTACTGTTTATCAGCCACTTACAGGTTACTTAAAGCTAGAAAATATTTTTGGATTGTAAGATATTTTGGGAGATAATAAAGATTTGCTGATACAAGTTCTACTAATTAAACCATAGCTGAGGGGAAGAGACGGGTTCATGCCTTTTCCACGGATAGCTATGCGTAAGTAAATATAACGAACCCGACTTGAATTGGAATTCGGCTCTCTGACTTCCAGTTCCGTGCTGCACGCACATCCAAGCTCATATCACGTGGTATTCCCAAGCGGACATCCATCGAGGTTCTGATTAGGCTAAACGTTGCTTAACTTTGGAGATCGTACGCGAGCCGATGTTTCAGCAGGATATGGCCGTAATCTCTTCAAGGATATAGAAAAAAAAATAATGAACGTATAATGGTAGGTTTGTGTCTGTTTAGTTGGGCTTGTTTTGTTTTACGGCATATCAACCTCAATGGGTTATTTAATGCCGACAACATTTTTTTTTCCTGGTAATATTTTGTTTTACCAAAAATCTATTTCCGGTAATATTTTTTTCCTCAAAAATGTATTGCTGGTAATATTTTTTTCCTCAAAAATGTATAGCTTTTTTCAAAATTTTTTTTTAATATTTTTTTTTTCAAAAATGTATTGCTGGTAATATTTTTTTTTCAAGAACGTATTGCTGGTAATAGATTTTTTTTACTTCAAAAATTTATTTCTGGTAATAATTTTGTACAAATTATTTCTGGTATTAAAACCTATTTTTACACTTTTGTAATACTTTTTACCTCAGTTTCGGGGGTTAACTATTTACCCATAGCTGAGACCCTAACAGGTGCTACCACCCCAAGTCAGGGTGAATCTGGGAACATCAGCAATTAAAAGGTTGTTCCACGCTCCTCAAAACCTCCTGATCAGAGGCCTTGCTTGCTGGACGTAGTTTATCGTTATACCCTGGACGTGGATGTAATTTATCGTCATACCCAGGACGGGTTTGTGTCTGTAAATGTGTGTGCTCTTGTAGTTTGACCTTTTTACATGATCTTAATTCGACCAAATGTTTATCAAACTTACTAGTTTTTCTTTTTACATTTCTCTCATTTAACATATAATACAAGGCCGACCTGTTATAAGTGGGTCAGATGTTTGTTTATTGAATCGACGTTGTATATTCTAAGTTCATGCTTCCTGTGACGTATGACTTTACAGGATTCTCCGAAGCATATAATTTCACATGTCATCTCCTGAACCGTTGCCATTATAGGATTTAAACGCCCATCGCTTCTTGCCGGGCCCTATAATCTACAAAAAAAAAAATAAATAATGATTTAAAACTGGGTGATTTAGGACAGGGAAGTGGGGGTGAGAGTACCAATCTTCGCAGCAATATATCCTGACAGCCAACAAGTCTAATGTATAGTGTTACTACATCCGATCTTCTGCATGCTAACTCAAGTGTAAATCCTTGTCTTTACTGCTATGCCTGGTATCTTATGGTATGTAACACCTCCTCGTGAAGTTTCTGTAATCGAATTGTTTCATAAGTTAGAGTGATTGGCGCCACGCCCAACCATTGTAATCTGAGGAAAGGTTTGTTTACTGTCGGCATTTTTCTGCCTTTAGACGTGTTTCAATGGTAGGTTAGGTCTAAATAGGTTTTGTTAATTCAGAAATATTCCTTCACGTAGAATGGCTACCAAACAAGGCTGAATAGTGCAATCTACACAACTATTGAATCCATAGCTGTAGGGTGTTAAAGCAACACCGAATTCTTTTCATTTCTGTTAACAGATCTTGCAAAGATTAAACTAGACTGACAGTTGAAAAAAAACGGTTTGGGAACGACTTTGTAAAAACAAACGATTATTACCACAAATTCACTTCGCATAAGCAATCATTATTAATACAGGACGTTTCCCCTAGTCTGGCACAATGCAATTTTTACTGAGGTATTTAATCCAATTGAGAGCGACCTGCAATACTAACGCTTAAACACTACTCAACAACAAACGCCCAATCAATTGATGTTTACATGAATGAGAAACAAAGCCACAAAGATTTACAATAATTTCTGTACGCACAACAAAGTTAAGCAACGTCGAGATGGTCAGTAAATCAGTGATGGGTGACCGCTTGGAAATACCACATCCTTGGATGTGCAGATGGTGCAATCGATCAGCTCGGAATTGTTAATCGGAGAACCGAGTTTCAATTCCACTCGGGTTCGTTATATCTATTTACGATTAAATACTCTTGGGAAAGGTATGAATCCGCCTCTTCTCCCTCAGCTATGGGTTAATTAGTAAGTCTGATATCATTAAACTATTATTATCTCAGAAAAAAATTTCCTGGCTTCAAATAACTTTCAAAGAGTTGATAAACCGTAAAAAACGAATCAACCGACAAAGTCACCAAAATAGTCTCGTTTATAATAATAATAATAATTACCGTATTTGACGGTATATAACACGCACAGATGTATAAGACGCACCCCCAATTTCAACAGAGCAAATCAAGAAAAAAATAGTAAAATTAGTAAAATTATTAGTAAATGGTACAGCCTAGGTTATATTTATGAGGTATTATTTCAGTTAAACAAGCCATTATTACAATTAAATGAAAAATAATAGAAAAAAAGGACACAAACCTATATAAAAAGAACTTTATTATATCCAAAGGTAAGAAAACAAAATAAAAATCAAGCAATTATTACAATTGAACAAAAACAATACAGTTACCATTAAAATTCAGTCAAAACTTTTCCTTTATATGAATCTGTACAACCTGCGTCTTGTAAATGTCTTATTGGAATAATTAGGATATAAAAATTCTGATTGTATTTATACCAATGCAACTGGAAGTTATCGCAAGAAAAATATTAATGAAACAAATATATATTTACAAATATATAATTTGAATTTATTGCATATAATTTTAGTGAAACAAAGTACTAATATTAAATGTGATGAAATTAATATAATGAATATTATCAATGATAACACTTTTAATCTGCATAATAGCATTTTAAATAATGACAATAGGTATATGAAAGTTAATCTAAAGTCTAAGCTAATAGGAGTTGCCAGGTAGCTAATTTCGGCCGACTGCTACGAATTTTAAAACTAGAAGATATTTTTATATATATATATTACATATTTATATTTTATATATATATATATATATATATATATATATATATATATATATATATATATATATATATATATATATATAAAAATAAATATATATATTTTTATATATTTTTTATATATTTAATATATATATATATATATATATATATATATATATATATGTATAAAAATAGAAATATATTTCGTCCAGTGTTATTGAAAAATTCTAAAAAAAAAAACTACATTTTTGAAATTTCTAAAAATCGTGCGTTGGATATGTAAAATTCTGACTTTGGAACCCAATCAATGTAGCACAAAAATACGGAATTTTGAATACTGAACATCCTTAATGTTCCGTCTTTTCATGGCTCTTTCCAGTAATCCAGTATAGAAAATATCCATGATATTGTGGACACAAAGGCGCGATTGTTGAAGCATATTTCATACATTTTTTCAATAGCACTGGTTAAAAAAAAAAAAAATTTAAATATTTGTTATGCCATAGTACCTATTCTATTGTAATGGACACTCCCATAGATAATAAGTAGGAGTAGCAGTGGCAAGTCTGGAGAATGGTGTCTCTGCCCACGCCTTCTGTCGAACTCTCTGCGTTAGCAGAGAGGAACCCGGACGAGGCTTTGCAGAAGGGCAAGGTTTCGTCCGGGGAGGTATATTCTGGCCTGAACCCGTCTAATAAAAACAGGTTCAAAGGCTATATTTTTTGGCCGGGCCTACGGCTCGCTATGATACTAATCATTAAAACCGGGATACCCGTGGGTGAAATTAAAACCGGCCTGTTGAGCGGTCTTTGACTGCGCATGCCATTGTTCTGCGTTCCGTGGGTGAAATTTCGATTTAATACCGAATGGCGTCTCCGGCCTTGGTATTCTTTGAAATGCGCACGTCCTCTCTGATGTCGAACTCTCTGCGTTAGAAGAGGAACCCGGACGAGGCTTTGCAGAAGGGCAAGGTTTCATCCGGGGAGGTAGACAGGTCCTGAACCCGTTTAATCAGCTTCAAAAGGCTATTTTTTGGCCGAGCCTACGGCTCGGAGAAACCCACAATAAAACCGGCCTTGTGCCATATTCGTTTCCGTGGGTGAAATGATAAATACCGAATGGTGTTGAGCGGTCTTTGACTGCGCACACCTTCTTATCGAACTCTCTGCGTTAACAGAGGTTTCCTGAACGAAGGCTTTGCCGAAGGGCAACCCCGTTTCGTCCGGGCTATTCGGGGGCCGAGGCTATACCCACAATAAAACCGGCCTTGTGCCAATTCCCGTCTAAATCCGAATGGTGTTGAGCTCTCAACTGCTATTTTTTTATGGGACGAGCCTTTCGTCGGGGAGGTCGGGCCTGAAATCGGCCACATTTTTTTGGCCGAGCCTACGGGCTCGGAGAAACCTGCCAAAACCGGCCTTGTGCCATATTCGTTTCCCGTGGGTGAAATGATAAATACCGAATGGTGTTGAGCGGTCTTTGACTGCGCACGCCTCTTAATCGAACTCTCTGCGTTAACAGAGAGGAACCCGACGAAGCTTTGCCGAAGAGCAAGGTTTCGTCCGGGGAGGTAGACAACAAATTGAAACCGTTTAATCGGCTTCAAAAGGCTATTTTTTGGCCGAGCCTACGGGCTCCGGGATACCCATGGCAAAACCGGCCTTTGTGCCATATTCGTTTCCGTGGGTGAAATGATAAATACCGAATGGCGTCTCGCGGTCTCTGACTGCGCACGCCTCCTGTCGAACTCTCTGCGTTAGCAGAGAGGAACCCGGACGAGGCTTTGCAGAAGGGCAAGGTTTCATCCGGGGAGGTAGACAGGGCCTGAACCCGTCTAATCGGCTTCAAAAGGCTATTTTTTTGGCCGAGCCTACGGGCTCGAGGATACCCACAATAAAACCGGCCTTGTGCCATATTCGTTTCTCGTGGGTGAAATGATAAATACCGAACGTTGTTGAGCGCGTCAGTCGCGATTCGGACATTTGAAGTACCAACCATCACAAGTAGATTTGCTGTGTCATTGACTCTTATTTTCCAAGTTCCTAACGTTTGTACGTCGGACCTAATTTAGGACGACTTATTAGAAATACAAGCCTCCACTGGGAAAATACTCCACAACAATATTTAAGTAAAAAAAAAAATTCCCAAACTTTTACACTTAAAAATTCGATTATCGAAACAAGCAAACGTCTCCATCCTACCTATTGAAGAGTTATCAAGTGTAAGTAGGTGCTCGGGGATTGTTTTGATGACGAAGTATGCTTTGTAAGCCTCACAGAGAATGTTTTCGTTCTTGTCTTGATAAATTCACCAAAGACATGCTTACATGGTGCCATCTGTCTACTACTTGTCTGCATCTGGACAGTTAGAAGTAAATTGCACAGTTGAGTTTAAGTTCCCTGCATTTATACTGCCAGAATATTCTAGAAACTCCTCGAAAGTTCTTGAAAATTCTCCTTCAGGAATATAATGGAAAATAGGTAAATTTCAAAACATCGATGTCAAAGTTTCAAGGGAATAATAGCCATTTCTCTGGCTTTCTAGGCGCAAGAAATTTGGAAATAACACTTACAGACTAAATACAAAAAAGTTAAGATTCTGCTACACAATTTAATCTTCTTTTTTCATTCAGGACGTAGGTGATCAAGGCCCTTCCCATCTTCCTGGCCCTTGTAGCTTTTAATAAGTTTTGTCTCTTTTTTATTTCTCCCAACCTTTTTTCTAATTTCTATTTGCTCAGGCCCATCAAATATGTTACTCGCTGCTTTCCTCTGTTTTTCTTTCCCTCAGTCTGTCTCGTGAGTATCAAATTTTCCAAGCCTTCTTTCCTCATTACATGCAACAGAAATTTCAACTGTCTCTTCCTGATGTTAAGTCTATGTTTCCTTTTTGCTTCCATTCTCTCCAAAACCTCGTTGTTGCTCATATGTTCGATCTATGGTATCCTCAGCATCTTTCTGTAGAACCACATTTTTGTTGCCTCAGGTTTTTTTTCTTCATCAGTGAGGTGATTGTCCAGCATTCGCTACCATGCAGGAGGACAGGTATCACGTACCTGTTCAATAGTCAGTGTAATACAAACTCCAAATCTCAGACAGATATTTCGTTGAACCTTCGAGGCACTATGACTTAATTTGAGTTCGTATAATCGGATCAGTGGAAATTTTCTGGAAACAACCACCTGAAAATCTCTTAACCAATTCTCTTTAATTTTGTCGGGGAGTTGCATTGTCATGGGGTACAACTGGTCAATCTTTATTCATTAATCGAGGTACAGAGGAACCTCGGTTCTCGAACGTCTCGCATGTCGAACAAATCTGTTTTCGAACAGAAAATTCGAGCTGAAAATACCTCGGTTATCGAACAAAATTTCGGTTCTCGAATAACATGGCTGAACCGAGTTAACCCGAACGGAGTCGACGGTCCTATTGTATATATTCGTGTGTTGTGCCGTGTTTTCTTTTCTATTTTTATTGTATTGTGACTTTTTTTTCTCTACATTTGTTCCTATTGGAAAAATAGTTTCGGTTTACGAAGATTTCGGATTACGAATGAATTAAATTCGTGAACCGAGGTTCCACTGTAATTCCTTTTTTGTTACGTTGATTCGTATTGGAAAAATAGTTTCGGTTTACGAACATTCCGGTTTACGAAGAGCCTTCAGCAACGAATTAAATTCGTGAACCGAAGTTCCACTGTAATTTCTTTTTGTTACATTGATTCTTATTGGAAAAAATAGTTTCGGTTTACGAACATTTCGGGTTACGAACGGCCTTCAGGTACGAATTAGATTCGTAAACCGAGGTTCAACTGTAATTCCTTTTTGTTACATTGATTCGTATTGGAAAAATAGTTTTGGTTTACAAACCTTCCGGGTTACGAACAGCCTTCAGGAACGAATTAAATTCATGAACTGAGGTTCCACTGTAATTCCTTTTTGTTACATTGATTCTTATTGGACAACTAGTTTCGGTTTACGAACATTCCGGGTTACGAACGACCTTCAGGAACGAATTAAATTACTGTTGTTTCTTTTTTTAGATTTTTCATGCATACAGTCAAATTAGTTGTAGTACTGACTTTTGATTTATGTCTTATCGATGCATTTAACTGGCCATTTAGCTTGGTTCATATTCAATTCCCGCTTCTTCTTGAAAGAAATGTTTAAAAGTATCTCTGTATAGTTCTGACATTAACAATACTACTACTACAAAATAGCAAGTTCATGCCTCTTTGGACTACCGAGGTACTGTGTACAAATTTGAAATCGGATAACATAGTCGATATTATCGCTTTTGACCTTTTGAGCAAGAAATCGCCAATCAGTGGGTAGTGTCTTACAATACATATTTGTTACGACAATTCAATTGTCATATCAATGTTGAAATCTGCTCATCAATTCATTCAATCAAATATTGCATCAAATTCAAAGGGGTCAGATCAAGCAGCTTTTACACACACACACAGTGAAAAAATTTTAGTTTGATTTAAATTATTTTTTTTCCTTGGATTTAAAATTAAATTTAAATTTGAACAAGAGAATAACTTCTATCCAAAATATAAAAGCGTCCTTGGTATGACGATAAACTGCATCCGCGTCCTGGGTAAGACGATAAACTACGTCCAACAGCAAGGAGCGTCCATCAGGAGGTTTTGAGGAGCGTGGAACCACCTCTTAATTGCTGGCGTTCCCAGGTCCACCCTGACTCGGGGTGGTAGCATCTGTTAGGGTCCTGGCTATGGATAAATAGTTAACACTCAAATTTGTGTAAAAATATACCAGAAATACATTGTAATAAACAAAATTATTACCAGCAATAATTACAAAATATCACCAGGAAAAAAATAATTGTCAGCATTAAATAACCCATTGAGGTTGATATGCCACAAAACAAAACATACAAAACCAAGTGAGTAATTTTAAAAAATTTTACGAAAATAAAACCATCCAATTCACTAAAAGTTAGATTGTACTCAAAAATATGAGTAATCGAAAAATGTTTCATATAGATATATGTACATACACACCAAACTACCGCTATGAATCGATTTCAAGAATTTTGTTGGCATTAAATTACCTACTAAAGTTGCTATGCCATAAAACAAAACAACCAACCAAAATATAAAAGGAGAAAGCCAGAAGATGAAGGTCACAGCGGCAAGATCATTGAGTAATATTGAAATGCATCATTTTTCTCCACAAATTATAACAATGGTTTAAAATCAGTCATCAATTTCTTACAAAAAAATATGTGACACGTAGCAAGGTGCGGGCAATTTGTCTAGTTATTTTATGTTTCCTTTGCAAATACAAACCTTTTTGCACAAAATGCAATTTGAAATCCTGGTCTTGGAATTTTATTTTCATTTAATTTTCATGCGGAAGTAATATTCGATGCACGGACAACGGATAAATTTATTATTGCAAAACAGATTCTGTCGAGAAAAAAGCTTCTTAGCACATCAGAGAGAACCTACATTCCTAGAAATTGACTAAGCTGGTCGATCTCTTGTATTAGACTAACGGTTAGGATAATACCATAAACTTTGCTACTAAGGGAAAGAGAGAGAGATAAAAGAGAAATTAATGGAGAAAAACGGGGAGATATCGAAATGGGGTTATTTTGAGAGAGTTACAGAAATGTACAAGAGGAGAGAGACAGAGAGGGAGACAGACAAGGAGAGAGAGAGAGCTGAAGGAAGAATTAAGCGAGATAACGGGAAGATACCGAAAAGGGGTTATTTTGAGAGAGAGTTACAAACAGAAATGTGCAAGAGGAGAGAGAGAAAGAGAGACAGGCAGAGAGACCTGAAGGAAGAATTTAGGGAGATAACAGGGAGATACTGAAAAGGGGTTATTTTGAGAGAGAGTTACAAACAGAAATGTACAAGAGGAGAGAGACACAGAAGAGAGGGGGGGAAGAGAGCTGAAGTAAGAAATAAAGGGAGAAAAACAGAGAGATACCGAAATGGGGTTATTTTGAGAGAGTTACAAACAGAAATTTTCAAGAGGAGAGAGACAGTGAGAGAGAGACTTGAGGGAGATATTAAGGGAGAAAAACAGGGAGATACCGAGAAATGGTCATTTTGAGAGAGTTACAAAGAGGTGAGAGACGGAGAGAGAGAGAGAGAGAGAGAGAGAGAGAGAGCTGAAGAAGGTACTGCTGCGAAAGAAATGAGTAGAGACCTAAAAGGGGAGATGTTGAGTGCAAAAATGTACAATGGAAGAAAATAGAGGGGAAGAGGGCAAAGGAGGAATGGTGGCGAGAAAAGCATGTGTGTAAGAAAGAAAAATATGAAAGAAGGTAATAGAAAGAGAGAGAGGGGTGAGACAGAGAGAGTGAGAGAGAGAGGGCGAAATTGAAGAATTAAAAATTGGGTGAGACCAAAAAGGAAACGAAAGAGAGACGCCAAGTTATCTAAAAGCATAAATCAGCAAAGAGAGCAAGATAAAGAGAAGAGTAGAGGCGTAATGGAAGCGAGAAAAAATGGGGAGAGACTTATACGAAGAAACGTCGGGCTAGTTAAAAATAGAAATCTACAAAGAAAGAGTGAGAGAGAGAGAATAAGTGAAAGAGAAAGAGAGAATGTGTTTGCCTGAAGAGGAAAGAAGTAGACCAAGGCGGAATAGCAGCGAGAAAAACGGGGGAAAAAAAACATCGAAAACAGAGATGGCCAGTTCGTTATAAACAGAAATGAACAAAAAGAGAGAAGAGGAGGTAAAGCAAGCCGAGGAGGAATGGGAGCGAGATTGAACGAGAGAGACGGTGACTTTGCGAGAAACAGTTATATGCAAATAGGGAGAGATGGAAGAGAATGTGTTTGTGAGAGAGAGAGAGAGAGAGAGAGTGAGAGAGAGATTAATTAGAAACAGTAATGTCTAAATAGGGAGACAGAATAGAAAGAGACCGACAGATAGAAACTGAAAGCCATATATAGACAGAGAGCGAGAGGGGCGGAATAACAGAGAAATCCGGATAGGAAATGCGGCACGTGACGAATGACGTAATTGTTTTGAAATCAGAAACTGTTTGTACCACACATTTCCCCGCACCCTCTCGATTGTCTGGATTATTTATTTATTTATTTATTTCTCCCCTCTGACCCACCCGTATGTCGATTGAGCGAACGTAATGCTTATTTTGGTACGGTACACACCCGGCTGTATAACAGCAACAAAACAAAAAAAAAAAAAAATACCCGGATAAAACGAATAAAAGAAATATTAAAAAAAAAAAAAAAAAAAAATACCAATAGCGGATCCATTAATTGCCCCCCCAACTTAGTTATTCGTTGCAAAATCCCTATTGCCGGAAATATAGACATTTCTCGAATCATATTACCAATTATATCCAAAAGCAATAGTGGAGGCAGCGATAATTGCGAAGGCCAGTTTTAATCATGGTCAAATTGGAACTACAAAGAAATTCCCGCGCCAAATATCCTTGTGTCTAACTTCAAAACCAGCATTTCAAATACCGCCACCCCTTACTTAACGACTGGGTTTCGTTCCGACGAACTGGACGTTGAACGGGCTGGTTGCTAAACGAGCTGGTCACTAAATAGGCTGGTCGCTAAACGAGTTGGTTGCTAAACGGCCCAATCACTAAACGAGCTGGTCGCTCAATAGGCTAGTCACTAAACGGGTTGGAATGCTAAACAGGCTAGTCGCTAAACGGGTTGGTTACTAAACGGCCCAATCACTAAACGAGCTGTAATCAAAGCAAAATTTATCCCCTTCCTATCTCTCCTAGTTCATCTTCAACCATTCATTTTCACAAGCTCGCCAAATTTTCCAAGCCTTCTTTCCTCATTATAAGGGTTTTTTTTTTTTATTCAATATTTTTCACTGTCACTTCTTTCATACTGATCAGGTAGGTGCAGAAAAATACTCGATTCGGGATACTTCTCTAAATCTTTTCAAATATAAGGTAACCCAAAAAATTCTGTCCGCTTTTAAAGGAAAAAAAAAGAAAACGCTTCACAGTATGTGTAACTTATATGTAGTCTTCAAAATAATCGCCATCGGCATCCAGCACCTTCTGCCAACATGTCTCCAGCTGTTCAATGCCCTTTCGATAGAACTCGGGGGGTTTTGACGGAAAGAAGTCCGTGAGGGCTTTGCGCAAGTCTGCTTCATTAGTGAAGGATTTCCCACGAAGATGATTATCCAGGGAGTGGAAGAGGTGGTAATCGGATGGCGCAAGGTCACGCGAATAAGGTGGATAGCACAAAGTCTCCCACCCAAGTTACTGTATGGTATCCCTGACCACTCGCGTGACATGTGGCCTGGCGTTGACATGGAGGAAAAGCACACCTTTGCGACTCACCAGTGTTGGCTCCTTCTGGCGCAATGCCTGTTGCACATGTTTCAATTGCTGCGAGTATAGGTCTTCAGTGACCTTTTGGCCCGTTGGTAGCAGTTCATAATGAACCACTTGACGACCTGTCCACCAGACACAAAGCATAATCTTGCGTGCATAGGCGGTCTTGCAGTGTGAGGGTCAGCATCCTGAGGAGACAACCAATGTCTGGAACGCTTTGGAGTTTCGTACAGAACCCACTTTTCATCACTGGTAAGCACTCGATTGAATAAGGATGCGGTACGGTGGCGAGAAAGCAGCGATGCGCAGGTTGCCACTCGTTGTCCCTTGTGGACCTCCAACAGCGTTTGCGGAACCCACTTGCTCAGTTTGTACGTCTTACCTAGGCGGTGCAGGTGAAGTCTAACTGTTTCATCGGAAACGTTGAACTGTCTTGCAAGTTCGCCACACGTTAGACTACTGTCTTCTTCAATGGCCACCTTCAGGACTCCGTCAATCAAGACCTGTGGTCGTTCACTGCGAGGCTTATCATGGAGAGACAAATCTCCCGACTTGAATTTTCGAAACCAACGCCTTTCTGTACGTTCATCCACAGCACTATCCCCAAACGCTTGACATATGCGGCGACTTGATGCAGCTGCTGATAAGCCCACTTTGAAGTCGTAAAGCAAACAGCCCCGAACGAGATCTCTAGACACTTCCATCCTTCTCTCAGCTGTCCGGCTTATAACTGATGGCCGGACACGGTGCGCGTGTTTTTTATAACGCCTGATGTTCCTACTTCCGGCTGTCCGAATTTGAAGACAATTGCTACACGCATTTCGTATATATTTCAACTTCATTCAATGACTAATCAAAAAACGGACAGAACTTTTTTGGTTACTTTGTATATATATATGTATGTATGCATGTTTTATTAAAAACGACAGACAGTCACTTAGAAATATTATAATGACATGCACTACCCCAATCGAACCGAATAAAAAATCAAATTAATTATCTATTATAAAAAATTTAAGACATCTAACATTATCCTCAAAAACAACACACGAGCTAAGTCAAAATCACAACGAACAAACATTATCTCTGATTTCAAATGTCCCTTAAGGAACTGTGTTCCTGATCAAACCGAACTGATGAAAAATTCCATCGGTCACACAACTACATGCCTATCCAGACGCCTTACCTTGCACCTATCCAACCAGAGCTCCATTAGATTTAAACACACACGCAAACATACCAGCCTCCATTCGAAACATACTAGTAGAAAACACAAGCATAATAACCTCATCCACTTGTAAAAAAGATTAAAAAAATGGAAACCCTAATAAATAAACAACTCTTAACTCTATTAACTACGAACAAGGCCATAATGTTCTAACCGTGTTCAATAATAAAATATGTGTTATAATAAAATATATAACACAATAAAAGCATACACATAACACACACACTCGTTTAAACTGAAAAATAAAATCATCTTTGATAATGGCTAAAAGTATAGCCGGAAGCGCTCGGAACTATAAAACATTTGGACAGTTTCTACACACTCTGTGTCTAAAAAAGAAAGCTCTTGTGCGAACACAAGAAAAATTAAATAACTGTAGTACCTTGTCTGTCGTTTTTAATGAAACAAGCATAAATGAAGGATTGCTGCCTAAATATACAATATATATATATATGTGTGTGTGTGTGTGTGTGTGTGTGTGTGTGTGTGTGTGTGTGTGTGTGTGTGTGTGTGTGTGTGAAAGTGTATATAAATATAAATAAATATAAGTATGTATAATTATATATTATATGCGCGGTACTTATTAGAAAGCGCTCCATATCAGAGATAGAGCTAACATATTTGGTTGGATAGATGTGAGTTTGTGACCCTGGGTTTCACGCTTTAGCGATCGTCAACACCACCCGTATACATACATATGTCATATCCGAAACTGCCCACATAGTTTTATATATGTATGAGTCCCGAGGGACGACCAAGTATGTATATGTGTCTGCATACATCGATGTTTGCGTTAGTGCGATGAATGACAAAACGACAAAATTTCCCCCACCACTTCCACTATAACACAAATACACGCAATCTATATAAACCCCAATTTTTTAAAACATTAATCAGTTTGTCTGACGATCGCTAAAGCGTGAAACCCAGGGTCACGAACTCACATCTATCAACCAAATATATATATATATATATATATATATATATATATTAAAAATCAGGAGGTCAGTTGAATCCGCTGTCTTGGTGTCAACCTTATGATATCCTCAGGCGATTTTTTTATCAAATGACCTCCGAATGCTACATTATTTTATTTTTTAATAAATAAACAAATAATAAGCAATTAACCCCACCAACAATATTTTATAGCTCTCTTGCTTTTCGTCTGACTGAATAAATTACGAATATTATGTCTGCTTATTTTGATTATAATCCTTTCATATTCACGAATATTTTTCCGTATATTACAATTAAACAGCGCAAAAAAAATCTGCTTATTTTGATTATAATCTTTTCATATCCACGAATATTTTTCCGTATATTACAATTAAACAACGCAAAAAAGTCTGCTTATTTTGATTATAATCCTTTCATATTCACGAAATATTTTTCCGTATATTACAATTAAACAACGCAAAAAAGTACTTTGGAAATTGTTGCCTTAATTAATTGTAATATACGGAAAAATATTCGTTAATATGAAAGGATTGTAATCAAAATAAGCAGATATAATATTCGTAATTTATTCAATACACACACACACACATATATATATATATATATATATATATATATATATATATATATATATATATATAATGATTAATCATATATATATATATATATATATATATATATATATATATATAGATATATGGAATGAATTAAGTCCGACAATTATTTAATATATTTTTCTTTTTCTACATTATTTTTAATAAATACAATTTATTTAAGTAACTGCTCTGTTTTTTTTTTTCAATAAACAGTATTAATTACATTTACCGGCCTGAATGTTCGAGAAATTTCGTAGAAAATATGTGTTCTCCGACAGGAATCGAACCTGTGTCCTATACGAAACCTTAAAGTGATGTGACGTACTATACTATTCAGATACAGAGAAAACGTCTGGTTAGCAATGTCCATATAAACAGTATTTTTATAGTGTCATGGGTCCTTACCTATAACTACAGAGTGAACTCTTCCCAACACTATCTATACTACGCGTCTCAAGAGAGAGGGTCGAATCGAGTCGAGCTTCTCGGCTTGACGGTCGAAATCTCTGCTTCTGAGCAGAGAGGAACCCGGACGAGGCTCCGCCGAAGGGCAGAGTCTCGTTCGGGGAGGTTGACCAACCCGATCCCGTTTATATGTGTTCTACGGGCATTTTTTTGGTCGAGCCTACGGGCATTTTTTGGTCGAGCCTACGGGCTCGGGAAAGCCACGTTAAACACGGCCTTGTGCCACATGCAACCCTCGATTTTTGGTGGGGGCTAGATACCGAATTAAACCGAGCTTCTCGGCTTGACGGTCGAACTCTCTGCCTCTGAGCAGAGAGGAACCCGGACGAGGCTCCGCCGAAGGGCAGAGTCTCGTTCTGAGAGGTTGACCAACCCGATCCCGTTTATATGGGTTCTACGGGCATTTTTTGGCCGAGCCTACGGGCTCGGGAAAGCCACGTTAAACGCGGCCTTGTGCCACATGCAACCCTCGTGGAGGGGTGGCTAGATACCGAATCGAGTCGAGCCGATAGTAGTTCACTCCAAACCAGACTGACAGTCATACTAACACCTTCCACATCTTGTATTATTATTTCGTGTAATATACCTTCGTTATTTCTATTCTTGTGTTCGTGTTGTTTTTCCTTGGTCCTAACCTGGACCATAATATATAGACACTAATTTAAACTTTGCTAACCAGCTGCTTTCTCTGTAGCTGATTGGTATAGCACGTTAGATCAATTGACGGTTTTGTATAGGACACAGGTACGAGTCTCCCCGGAAATTAAACGAAATGGTCGAAAGCAAAAATGATTGCATTAATAAAAAGAATTAAAATATTTTAGTTTGTCTTCACCCCAAAGTAAGCATGAATTAAAACTTACTGCTTAAATCAACCCGACACCTACGTATATAAACCACAAATGTTGATTAGGATGATCGTCGCATGATTTGTTGAGCGCGTAGCCGTGTGGTTTGAACGTTCGCTTCCTGACCATGAGACTCGGGTTCGAATCTCTCGACTTCCTGAAGTTATCGAAATGGATACAGATCGATCCCAGCGTGCAGCACCTCGGGAAAGTACCTGAAAACCAAGCCTTATGGGTGAAATCGGATAGATGCAACCCTTATAGCTGTGCTGGACTTGTTCATCAAACTTGATTAACACGCTCTCTCCCAGAAACTAAGGCCTGCTCAGCATAGTTGCCGTATAAATCACAGGTGGGCTCTGTGGGTGTTGAGCTAACATAAATGTGCCTGAGCGAGCGTCTGCAATAGGGATTGGCTAGCCACCCTAGTAAACGGGTATCCTCGAATACAAGTGGCCAGCTATTATTGCATGATTAAATTGTGATTTAGGCTATCAAGCAATGTCTGTTCAAGAAATGCTTCAAGTGAAGAAAAACGTTGCACCGAGTCCATTCCAATCTCTAAAGAAAAACAACATGTACACAAAAAGAAGAACTAGTGAACATCCTTTGATGATATCAAGCCGCGGGGCGTTACATGCAGAACATGTACGACTCTCTTCCGGCTTCTTTCTTTTCAGTCAACTTTGATCTTCAGAAATTTAAAAGCAATGTCAATCGTCTATGAGTGAATGTCGAAGTTTTGCTGTGTTAGGGTCCCTGTTCGTCAAAATTTAAATGAGGTGTATTTCGTCAGCGATAATTCAACGTTCAACATATTTGGTTAAATAATGACGATAATGAAGAAACTGAGATAGATAGATAGATAGATAGATAGATAGATAGATAGATAGATAGATAATGAACAGACTGAGAAAGATAGATAGATAGATAATGAACAGACTGAGATAGATAGATAGATAGATAGATAGATAGATAGATAGATAGATAGATAGATCGACAAGTTCTGTCTATCAAAGTTTTTCTTAACGCTTTTCAATTTCAGAAACAGTTGTTTTATGCAATCTGTAAATTTTACCAACGTTCATATTTCGTAGAAAGAGAAATGATAGATAGATAGATAGATAGATAGATAGATAGATAGATAATGAAGAGACTGAGATAGATAGATAGATAGATAGATAGATAGATAGATAGATAGATAGATAGATCATGAACAGACTGAGATAGATAGATGGATAGATAGATAATGAACAGACTGATATAGATAGATGAGATAGATGATAGATAGATAGATAGATAGATAATGATACACTGAGATAGATAGATAATGAATAGATGGATAGATAATAGATAGACTGAGATAGATAGATAGATAGATAGATAGATAGATAATGAATGACTGAGATAGATAGATAGATAGATATATATATATATATATATATATATATAGATATATATATATATATAGATAGATAGATAGATAGATAGATAGATAGATAGATAGATAGATAGATAATGAACCGACTGAGATAGATAGATAGATAGATAGATAGATAGATAGATAGATAGATAGATAGGCGGGGCTTTTAGAAGAGTGATTATCATTCCAAGTCTGCTTGGGATAATTGGATGTCGTCTTCTTTGTGTCGCTGAGGTTGTTATTACAATGTTTGAGATTTAAGGTTCACCCTTCTTTACGTGAATAATTCGCAATAAAAAAAAGGACAAGTTATCTTTTGTTGGTAATACTTCAACCGATTCATTCTAAGGACAATATTTACAAACAATTAAACATGATTTTAAATCAGTTTTCCTTCTCTTAGTTGGATGTTTTAATGAAGACTCGAGAGCTGACCACTCCAACTGATCTTACTGAACGTCTAGACACCAACTGAAGTATTTCAATGTCTTCGCGCTTGTGCCAAATGTTCATTGTTCCCACGAAAGAATTAATTATCCTTTTGAGTGATTCTTTTTTTTTATATCCTGTTAAGTGTCTAATCATTCTCGTCACCTGGTTTTTCTGGGGGAGGGTATTAGTTTAGTTGCAAATAACTCATAACACAGGTAGTACTGAGTTATATAGAACGAGGAGCCCTCATAGAGTGACGTAACATACATATATACACAAATATATAGCCCCACACATTTATATTGTGTATTTAGGCAGCAATCCCTCATTTATACATGTTTCATTAACTTTTTTCAGTTTCAGGATTAATTGTTTCATGCAATCAGTAAACCAATGTTCGTATTCCGGAGAAAGAGAAATGAAAACACCCATGGATGAAATAAAATAAAATAAAAATAGTCCTCCCTCTGGCTTCATATATATATATATATATATATATATATATATATATATATATATATATATATATGTGTGTGTGTGTGTGTGTGTGTGTATATATATATATATATATATAATTAATGAAAAAACAGACCACTTTAAGGTACCATTACGATAATTTATTTCACCAAAATCCTTTTTAAAGGACTCCGGATCATCAGGTAACGAAATGAAAGGAAAAATGGGATTATTTCATCCTCCTTGGAATTACCCATTGGGTTTTACCAAGTTCTTCGAATCAGGATTTCATCCTCCTTGGAATTACCCATTGGGTTTACCAAGTTCTTCGTAACTTAAATATATATATATATATATATATATATATATATATATATATATATATATATAGATAGATAGATAGATAGATAGATAGATATCAATGAAAAAATGAATACCCTATCGCTACTTATTAAAATGATTGGTTTTCTCCATATCGATAGAAACTAATATTACAAATGTATATGCTTATAAAGCTCCGTAAATTTCAAAATTAGTTATTCCAATATTTGCTTGAAAATGAAACAGAAGTAAGTTAATTTAATTTCTATAATTGAATTGGAAGTTTTTAGCGTCTATCTTTGAAACATGGTAATTCGTATAGCGATGGAATGATATTTAAAAAAAAATAATTATAATAATACATACACACACATATATATATATATATATATATATATATATATATATATATATATATATATATATATATATATATATATATATATATATATATATATATATATATATATATATAAATCAAAATTTCCATGGTAACAGCTAGGGCGAATTGTTTAAATTGGTAGGCATGTGTTGGGTGTTAATAAAAAGTATCAGTATAGAGTTACTTTCATAGATGTCAAGTCAGGGTCAGGTGGGGGTGTCTAAATTTGAAACTTACAATGGAAATTTTGATTTCAATTATTAAAACACGTAAATTTCAAAATACGTTATTCCAAAAAGATTTTGCTTGAAGATGGAACAGAGCTTACTTTAACTCGATTTCATTCAAATGATTATATTGAAGTTTTCGGCTCTTGTTTTGAAACATGAGACCTCTTATGTCGCGAGTTGGAATCATATTTTTAAATAAATAATTATATATATATATAATTAGATTATGTTCACGTTGAATGAAGTCAATGTCATAGAGTTCACATCACCATATTCAAAGGGCGGAATATTGTAGTTATTTAATCAACTATTACGGTTATCTATGAAATAAAGATGGCTGTCCAAATGCACATCAATATATATATATATATATATATATATATTGATGTGCATTTGAAACCATCTTTATTTCATCATATATATATGTGTGTGTGTGTGTGTGTGTGTGCATGAAACAAAGATGGCTGTCCAAATGCACATCAATATATATATATACACACACGCACACACACACACACACACATATATATATATATATATATATATATATATAAAAATATATATAAACACTAATAAACACTTCCATGGTCATTGAGCTCTCCTTGGTTAAGATGACCATGGAATATTAGTGTTTAAGCCTTTTTATTATATCCTTACTCTGTCCTAGACATTGAGTTCTACCTGGATTCTATCCTCTTTGATTCTCATGTTTTTTTCTAAAAATAGACATGTATGGGTATTTATATATTTTGCATATGTATGTATATTTCCCACTAATATTATCAATATATATATATATATATATATATATATATATATATATATATATATATATATATATATATTATTAAAATATTGTCAATTATTCCACGTCTTGCTCCAACCTCCTGGAGGCCCATAAAAATTTGCGTTCTTTTATATTATGGCAATAGGCTCATAATTTAATATTTCAAAAAAACGCCTCCGAACTTCTTCCACGCCCGTGGGCTTTGCTTGCTTGCTTGCTTGTTGTTTTGATTGCGTTGCACTCTATATGTAGGTGAATGTATTCGCACAACAGTCTGGTTCCGTGAGTGCAGCATCTCTCTGCCTAGCTACAGGAAAACCTGTCGGCGACCCCATCCCACTTCCCGAAATTTGTCCAAATTGCCAATAGTACGCTTTAGAGGAAATCCCTTCCAGGTCGGGCCAAGAACATTTCAACATATCTCACTCCTACTCTCTCTCTCCCTCTCTCTATCTCTCTCTCTCTCTTTTACACACACACACGCGCGCGCACGCAAACATATACACACTCAGACATTCACACACAAATAAATACATATATATATATATATATATATATATATATATATATATATATGTATATATATATACGTACTTGTGAAGGTGTGTACATTTAAGTGCTTGAAGTAGCTGCATATTTGATCTATTAAGAGTTATTTTATTTATGAAAGGACAAACACACCCACTCACTGTCGCACACAGAAAAATATATGTTTACATACAAAGTGTCTCAAAAACTGTAAGCACATTTTGAACCCTTCTCAAGAAATAATTCAACTACAGGGTAACCCCACCAAAAAGAAAATTGACATCATTTGAAATGTGAATATCTGAGTAACTACATGTCCCAGGCAAAACGACATTAAATCGGTTTTAATGTTGAACAATAGAATATTTATTCGTCAAAATTCGAACAAGTTATTCGAAGAGGTGTAGATTTTATAACTGATTTCCCTAAACTTCGTAAATGTTCAGTATGCGCACGATCTGTGACACGACAAAAATCAAGTCGATAGCTCAGCCCCTGCCAAAAACAGTGTAAAAAATCTTTTTATTTATTTATTTTCTCTAGCGTCTCGTTGATTCTCTGCTTGAGTACCTCTGGGCTTCTAGGAAAAGCTTTGGATATAAACCTGTTCTTTCACATAAGCCCTATAGAAAAAAAAATCACAAGGTGTCAAGTCAGGTTAACGTGGTTGGCCATTTCAACAGCACATTGTCATTATCACTGGCTCACCCGATCTATCTTCCTTGTAGATTCCCATTGAGATAAGTCCGTACAGTTAATTTAGTTTCTAAACATTTTATTAAAATTTGAGATCATTTGAGCGAGAATTGGCTAAGTTATTAGACTACAAAATGTTATTAATTTTGTGGGGGCGCACTCTGTATCGGCCAGTTATGTGCCATGCCTGATACACCCTTAGGCGATCATGTATCTTTCGATACATGAGTGACGAGACAGATTTTTTTTCTCCGCAGTAGGTTGCCATTTCTTTCTGCAGTAAACCAGTTGCCATCCAAGGCTTTAGAACCCGGTCTGTCCTGCTATTTACCCATAGTCAGTCAGTTAGGTGCCATGCGTGATATACGCTTAGGCGATCATGTATCTTTCGATACATGACTGACGAGCGAAATTCCAACCACCTGAAGAAGGCCGGAGCGTACAACGGCCGAAACGTTGTGACAAATATGGCGACAAAGATGAGGACAATAGTCCGACTAATGTAAATACAGTACATAATACCTCATCTCAGAAATATAGACTGACGAGGTAGATTTTTTTCCCGAAGGAGGTTGCCATTTTCTTCTGCGGTAGACCAGTTTCCATCTAAGGCTATAGAACCTGTCCTGCTATTTACCCATAGCTGGGGGGGAAGAAGAGGATTCATACCTTTCCAAAGGGTATTAGCACGTAAAGTGAATGTAATGGATTCTACTGGAATTCGAACTCGGCACTCCGATTCTCCAATCCGAGCTGCTATCCATTACTCCATCATTGTTTCTTGCTTCTCAGGGAATTTGAATACCTGTGCTCTTCCGAAACGGACTCTAGTGCACACCTTGTGGGTTACCATCATCTTCAAGCTTATCTCTAATCCGTCAGGTTGTAAGCCGCGTGGGTGGATCGGGATGAACGTCCCGTCGATACCGTCTTTGATCTTCAACAGCAGTTTCGTATATGCATTAGTATTTCAGAATGAACTTTGCTTGTTCGAAGCTAAACCTGAATGACATTAGTAATACTGACGTGTAAATCTGAAAAGACATCGAATTGACTTGGGGCTCTACTTCATAAAAATGCGTATAAAATTTTTGAGACAACCTCTATTTATTACGTAACGACAACTATGTATGTACGCCATTACGCCTATGTACACCCAGTGAAGATTAAAAGCACCATTATTAATCATCGAGATCAGCTTTCTGACCTTTACATATAGGGATTTACTAAGCGTAGATTGCATCTGACATAAGGCCGAAATTATGGAGCTCAGGATATCACATGACACTTCGTCTTGGCGAAACGATTAGCAAGCTAATCTCGCTAGATGAATTAAGACTTTTCCCGAAAATACAGGAATTGTAGCAGAATCGGAAGTATTACTCTGTTGTAATTGATCTAGAGTGATAACCGTTTGGCCACGTCGAGGTATCCTGTGATTACTGTGCGTAGATTAGATGTGGCACAAGGCCGAAAGTATAGAGCTCCAAGTGAGGATTGAAATCACGACTCAGTCGTAATAGATCTAGCCAGAAAAGCTTACTAACCGTTTCGCCACGCCGAGGGTTCCAGAGATTTACTGAGCGTAAATTAGATGTGGCACAAGGCCGAAAATATAGAGCTCTAAGTAAGGATTAAAATCACTACTCAGTCGTAATAGATCTCGCCACGTCGATGGTTCCAGCGATTTACTGAGCGTAGATTAGATGTGTCCGCTCGCCTTTACATATAAGATAACACTGCCTATGCCTTCATTTATATAAGACATTAAGACTGTGACACACCCAAGGTTGTAGTGTCTTAAGTACTAACCAGGTTCGAATTTGCTTAACTCCGGTGCGCAAACGTTAGTCGTAATTTATGATAATTCGTGCGAAATTTGACACAACTAACTCGCCTGGAATTCGAACTTGGTGCACCGATTATCAAGTTCTGCACTGATTAACGCTACACCACGCATACATTTACTCGTAATTAAAATATCACTATTTAATCTGGCAACAGGATCCGGCATTTTTTATTTTTAATTATCATCCGCTATTAGTTCAGTGGGCGGCTATGAGGGCGGTGCCACACGTTGTTTACAACTTTTCGCAGTAGCCGACAGCAGCAGCCTGATTTGGTGATACAACCTTTCACATTCCTTATATATAACTAGCAGCATGGCCCGGCGTTGCCCATGCTTGATTCAAAAATCGTACGACTCATACAGCAATCGCTATCGCTTGACTTAAAATATTTTTGCCCTTCCTTGCCTTTAAAGGAGTGCCCGTTGCCGTGCTGATGTTGCTACATGCCTTACTTCTTGCCTATCTCACACTGCGATTTTTTTCTAAGCTCTATACTAAACATTAAATCTGTTACGAAAAAGAACTAAACAAAATGAACACAAAACGATCAGCTTTAAAAAAGGACTCATAACTGGAAAAACCGAATGAAAAAAGAATGTTAACAACAAATACTTTTTCACACCCAACCCAGTTCTACGGAATCAGAATCATCGTTGAGTTTAAGCAAGCGAATGAGCCAATTGGAGTAAAGTGCCATGCAGATTTAAATTTTTACCACTTGTGACGAATGCAGCTATCGATTTTTTTGCATGCTAGCATGCTAGTTAACATTCGTGTCAGTCAGCTGTTGGCTCTCACGCTGGCCAATAGAATCTTCCTGCCTATTCGTGGCAGCCAGATATTGGCTCTCACTCTAGCCAGTAGAAAATGACCGCAAACTACATGAAAACTGCCGTGGAAGCATGAAAAATCGATTAATTTCCACTATCGATGGGAGTTGGGAAATGCAAAGTCGGTCTTGGCCTTCTCGCTAACTTGGAGCATGTGCATGTAAATTTTTTCCGTCAAAAATTACAGCCGTGCATTCGTTACACACACACATACATCCTGCCTTTTATAGATAGAGATTGCATATTTACCCATTCAGGGTAGCAAGTAGATGTCAATAAACGGAGGCACGGTGGAGTAATGGACTGCGTCTCGGATTGAGGAATCGGAGAGCCGAGTTCGAATTCTAGTCGAATCCCTTGTATTCACTTATGTGCTAATACCCTTTGGAAACGTATGGACCCATCTCTTCTGTCCACAACTAAGAATAAATAGCAGACTAGGTCCTATGCCCTTGAATCTAAACACGTCTGGAGAGAGTTGCCCAAGACACTATTATTTCTACTTCGGCTGCAATGCGTGTCGCGCCTTTTACGACCCTTATGGGTTACCGACACCCAAGAGGATGCTCCCCCGACCACTACAACCTGTTTTCTTACGCACATATCCCTATAAACTGTGCCTCTTACTCTGCCTCGAGCGGATCTTGGGCCTTGTACAGGGTAATCATCATTGTAAAAAAAATAAAGAAAAAACTTTGTTCTACTTTTGATAACACAGGAATTCATATGTGGAATGAGCTAGCAAGATCTTCATTTTCTGTGGTCCGGCAATGGCCTGGTTCCAGTGGTGCCGGATTAAAGAAGCCGGACTGTTTTTTTTTTTTCATTCGTCTCGCCGACGACTGTAGTGGTTTTCCAAGCGTAGCTTAGATGTGGCACAAGGCCGGAAGTATGGGGCACCCAGTGAGGATCGAACTCACTACTCAGTCATAATTGTTCTAGCGAGACAAGCTTGCTAGCCATTACACCACCTCGAAGCGCCCTCACCGCCGACGACTGTAGTCGTTAGTCCCACGGTGAACCACGAACTTACTTACGCTATGAAAGTGATCTACCCGAGAAAGGTTATTATCCAAATCGCAACAGGAAAGATCTCCTGCGAGAGCGAATGAGCGCTGGTGAGATTGAAACATATTTTTATTGGGAAGTACGCGTGTATTTATAGCAATGTCCGTCGGGGATTTACATGAGATGGAGCAGATGTGTCAATTATTCATTTACCCGCTGTGAAAACTAGATCGGCCAGTGAACTAACTCGCTATATTTTCACATCTCCAAAGGAAAGTTCAGTTGCTATTTATATATATATATATATAGTTCATCCTCCTTAATTGAATGAACACAGTCTGACGTAAATGGGCTATTCGTTTTTGGATTTAACTTTTTTTTTCTTTAAACATTTTTTTTTAAATTTATAATGCGTTTAACATCAACGAAACCTACTATAATAAACAAATAAAACATTTACAAAAATATGAAATTCCACATATCAAATTTAATTCCATTAAATATACATTTTTCTAAAAAGCCACGTTCCTTCATAACGTGGGTGATCATGGCTCTCCACAGCTTCTGTTTGTTTATTACACTTTGAGGGAAAATATACTTGAGCCCTATGACGTTATTTTTGATACGGTTTCAAATTCAGCATGGAAGTTTCGTGGCATTTTTTTTTTCAATGCTCTCCTTTTTGGCACCTCGACGTGTAAATTTAAACGCACGACTAGATTGGCAAGTAGGTTTCATTTTGTTTCACTCTTCAAATAGCTAGATGTAACTGTAAGTTCTATTCTAATAGTATCTTTTCTCGCACTTCTCACCTGTGGAACTCTTTCCCGTTTTCTTGCTTACCTGCCACCTATGATCTTCAAAAATATTGGTCGACATCTTCTGTCTTCCTCAATTCTGGATATAGGCTTAGGGATGAATAAAAAAAAATCAAACCTGTAGAATTTTACTTAAAATCTATTGAAGATCTGCTTTATAAGTGGTAGCGTTTCTTTTCAAACAATGTTGAACATACAAATGAATAAAATGCCCTGTAATTCCCTACATATAAGATGACTTCATCCATAATACGCACCCCTAAAATTGTGCTGGGAGTGTGGGGAAATGCTTCTACTCACGCGTAATACGCACCCCTTGTTTGGTAATCAAAACCTATAAATTATACCTCTCCAATTTCATTAAAGCCAGCCTTACCTACTCTTATTCAAACTGTAATTGAAGATATTTATCAAAATTTCCAGTCCTCACGATTCTAAAAGGAAACGGAAATACCTATATTGTACCTACTGCGCAGACTCATTAACCTGTTTTGGTTCGATAAAATGTGCAGTCTACCGGATCTGTATGTAGTTTTTCGCAAAAAAAATAGTTTTAAATATAGTTTTAAATATATTTTATATATAATTTCGTTTTATGATAATTCTTATTTCATTTTACATTTGGATATATCGTTAGGTACATATAACTGTATTTAAATACATCCTTATGGGTTCATAATTGCCGTGTCAAATTGTCGTATTTTTGTGGTGACTAGTCCTTTTGCAACTGAAGTGGACCTATAAAACAGCAAGTTTTTGAAGATTTTTTGTAGCTGTTCATAATACGCATCCCTAATTTTGCTTAATATTTTTTTTAGAAAAAAGATGCGTATTATACATGGGCAATTACGGTAATTGTTCTTTATTTCGTGATGTATAAAGTTGATATACAATTACAGAAAATATTTATGAGTAAGCCTAACAGTAAAGGGTTTCATAATAATATATTCTACAGACCTCGCATTAGCTTAATCAGGCCCTGTCCATGAGGGCAGGTCGATTTTAGAACCGTGGTATTGCACACTATATAAAAGTTGGGGCTTGACATAATAATTAATGACAAAATATTTTTTTTTTAAATAATTACCGTGTTTTGGGGAAACGAGTTTAAAGTTTAGGTTTAAACTCACACCGTTGGAATTTTATTTCGGTGATCAGTGAAGGCTTTATAGCACAGTCTTATCAAATTTATAATTTATTGAGGCTTATCAAATTGTGTATAGACAAGATGCATGGCACAAGTGCATCCTTATTAAATCATTGTGCCATCAAATAAGATCATCATTTACTTCTAAAGGAAATTATACTGAACAATTTATCTATATTATGATGTAATATACAGTGCAGTAGTTTCAATAAAAATGCAATTTTAAAACATTTTTCTCATAATTTGTGCCCAGCAGTATTAGGGTGTTATATACATTTTTATCTAATTTTTTGTTTTATTAATTATGATCTAAAACTTATTATTCATTGAGGAGAATTTATTGCAGTTTTTGACAATTTTTTTACACAGGTTAACTTATAGAAAACACTAAAAAAAATCATATTTTACTTGTTGTGATTCATAATTAAAACTTTGGTTTGAATATATTTTCTATTCAATGTATCTCTATCTATAAAAGGTAGGATGTGTGTGTGTGTGTGTGTGTGTGTGTGTGTGTGTGTGTGTGTGTGTGTGTGTGTGTAGAAAAAATATATTTCAAACGCACATTTTCCAAATTAGCGGAAAAAAAGTTAGCGGAAAGGCCAAGACCGATTTTGCATTTCCCAACCCCCATCGATAGTGGAAATAATCGATTTTTTCATGCTTCTACGGCAGTTTTCATGTAGTTTGTGGCCATTTTTTACTGGCTGGAGTGAGAGCCAATAGCTGGCTGCCACGAACAGGCAGGAAGATTCTATTAGCCAGCGTGAGAGCCAACCGCTGACTGACACGAATGTTAACTAGCATGCTAGCATGCAAAAAAAATCGGCAGCTGCATTCGTCACAAGTGGGAAAAATTTAAATCTGCATGGCACTTTACTCCAATTGGCTCATTCACTTGCTTAAACTCAACGATGATTCTGATTCCGTAGAACTGGGTTGGGTGTGAAAAAGTATTTGTTGTTAACATTCTTTTTCATTCGGTTTTTTCCAGTTACGAGTGCTTTTTTTAAAGCTGATCGTTTTGTGTTCATTTTGTTTAGTTCTTTTTCGTAACAGATTTAATATTTAGTATAGAGCTTAGAAAAAATTCTCAGTGTGAGATAGGCAAGAAGTAAGGCATGTAGTAACATCAGTACGGCAAAGGGCACTCCTTTAAAGGCAAGGAAGGGCAAAAATATTTTAAGTCAAGTGATAGCGATTGCTGTATGAGTCGTACGATTTTTGAATCAAGCACGGGCAACGCCGGGCCATGCTGCTAGTATTAGATATAGATCCGTTTTACAATCGAATGAAAAAGGTAGTAATAGATAAGATTTACACTTAAGTCAAAAATTAGAGACACATGATTAGAAAAATATATTGACATAGATCCGGTGTAATCTTTAACTCTTAAAAAATTAAATATATCAATAGTGAGTGTACCCGAGAATAAAGGGGAGTCTTTTTGTGAAGAGGACGTCTTAACTTTCCGCGGGGACAGGGTCCATTAATGACAACCATTCTGTTGACAATAGAAGATATGCAGATGACACACTGTTAATAGCAGACAGGTAATATAAGCTACAGACACTTTTATAGAAGGTAGTAAACGAAAGCGAGAAGAAAAAGCACTAACCATCAATTTTAAGAAGAGTTTATGGCAAAAGGAACAACCTGACCTGCGAACTAAGAATGGTAGACAAGATCAAAGAAGAAAAATATCTAGAAAGTGTTTGAACAGAGAACAAAAAAATGTGACATCAAAATCCGCATTGGAATAGCAATAGATGTCTTCCAAAAGCTAAGCAAAGTATTGACAAACAGGAAAATTTCGTTCGCGACAAAGAAAAGACTACTGTGGAAGTGTTTGAACAGAGGTCGGAAAGTGTGATACTGGAATCCGAAGGTGCATTGGAATAGCGAAAGATGTCTTTCAAAAGCTAAGCAAAGTATTGACAAACAGGAAAATTTCGTTCGCGACAAAGAAAAGACTACTGTGGAAGTGTTTGAACAGAGGTCGGAAAGTGCGATACTGGAATCCGAAGGTGCATTGGAATAGCGAAAGATGTTTTTCAAAAGCTAAGCAAAGTATTGACAAACAGGAAAATTTCTTTCGCGACAAAAAAAGACTACTGTGGAAGTGTTTGAACAGAGGTCGGAAAAGCGAAAGTGTGATACTGGAATCCGAAGGTGCATTGGAATAGCGAAAGATGTCTTTCAAAAAGCTAAGCAAAGTATTGACAAACAGGAAAATTTCGTTCGCGACAAAGAAAAGACTACTGTGGAAGTGTTTGAACAGAGGTCATTGGAAAAGCGATACTGGAATCTGAAAGGTGCATTGGAATAGCGAAAGATGTCTTTCAAAAGCTAAGGAAAAGTATTGACAAACAGGAAAATTTCGTTCGCGACAAAAAAAAAGACTACTGTGGAAGTGTTTGAACAGAGGTCGGAAATAGCGATACTGGATTCCAAAGGTGCATTGGAATAGCGAAAGATGTCTTTCAAAAGCTAAGCAAAAGTATTGACAAACAGGAAAATTTCGTTCGCGACAAAGAAAAAGACTACTGTGGAAGTGTTTGAACAGAGGTCGGAAAGTGTGATAGTGGAATTGAAGGTGCATTGGAATAGCGAAAGATGTCTTTTCAAAAAGTGCATTGAAAAGTAGATGAAAACAGGAAAATTTCGTTACGACAAATGAAAAAGGTGCATTGGAAGTGTTTGAACAGAGGTTGGAAAGTGCGATAGATGAATCCGAAGGTGCATTGGAATAGCGAAGATGTCTTTCAAAAAGCTAAGCAAAGTATTGACAAACAGGAAAAATTTCGTTCGCGACAAAGAAAAGACTACAGTGGAAGTGTTTGAACAGAGGTCGGAAAGTGCGATACTGGAATCCGAAGGTGCATTGGAATAGCGAAAGATGTCTTTCAAAAGCATAATAACAAAGTGATTGACAAACAGGAAAATTTCGTTCGCGACAAAGAAAAAGAAAAAGTACTGTGGAAGTGTTTGAACAGAGGTCGGAAAAACGACATACTGGAATCCAAAGGTGCATTGGAATAGCGAAAGATGTCTTTCAAAAGCTAAGCAAAGGAATTGACAAACAGGAAAATTTCGTTCGCGACAAAGAAAAGACTACTGTGGAAGTGTTTGAACAGAGGTCGGAAAGTGTGATACTGGA